AGGCATCTGGTCCTGGACTTTTGTTTTGGGGTTTGTTTTGATTACTGCTTCCATTTCACAGCTTGTAATTGGTCTATTTAGGTATTCTATTTCTTATTTATCTAGCTTTGGATGATTATATATTTCTAGGAATTTGTCAATCTCTTCTAGATTGTTGAACTTGTTTGCATATAAATGTTCATAGTAATCTCTGATTATCTTTTGATTTCTACAGTCTGTTATGATTTCTCCTCTTTTGTTCTTGAGCCTAAAAATAAAAATTCCTTATGCTTTGGTTCTTACTTAGATTCTCTCTCTGCCTCTACAGACAACAAACACCCAGATTACCAAATATTGACCCAGACCTGAAGGAAAAAAACACACCAAAAGACACAGGAACTGTAGTAAACCTCACTGAAATAAGTCAGAAGGAAAAAGAAAAAAAAATATTGGATGAATATAGGGGAACCAAATAAGACATCAGGGGAAAAATTAATAACAATACAAAACACTTTATCCTGTATAGTAATTTGTGTACAGACTCTTGTTTTAGGACAGTTCTCACAGTGTAGCTCATGGGACACTTAGATTCTGCCCTAGGTTGCCCATTTATGGCTCATAAATTCTATCAAGCTTCTATGCTAGTACAACAGTTTTTCTTTGGTCAAAATAGTTAACAATGGGTACAAGGAGTTTAGAACCAACAATATTTTTACTCATTTGTTACAACTTTATATCATATTAGAAGCATGTTATTTGTTCCCTTCTCAGGAACATACTTGAAATTATATTTGGTTATGTTTTTCTGAACATTTAAACTATCTGCTCACTTCATCTTTCAACCCTGGTTTCTAACGTCAGTTGAATAATTTCATAGATATTTCCAAAGAACAGCTTTATAACTGCATTAGTCCAAAAGACTCACATTTGGGGATTGAAGTCTTTGTTCGATTAATTATTATACACTTACTACATTCCAGGTTCTGTTCAGGGTGTGTAGGATATAATAGTGACATATTTAAAGAGTGCTTGCTACAGAAAGCTCAACATTTATTCAGTGGATACAGATTCAAAATTCACAACAATATGTATAGCATATATAGAAGAATGATAAAAGACAGGGAACTAAGATAGGGAGCTACCCACATGGCACAGCAGATGTCCCCTGGCTCACCCTCTGCTCCCCTCAGCAGTGTATTTCAGTTGATATGCATGTTCTGTTCCAACTCTGTCTCTGGTGAATCCTCTCAACCCTCAAAATTCAGACTGTACTCAGCTGTTGTATACGTAAATAATTAAAACTTAAAAAAAAAAGCTAAGACAAAAGGAGATTATAGAGACACAAAATGATGGATGCGACTGTGTTACAGATTATTCAGGAGAGGTTTCATTGAAATGGTGAAATCAGAGCAAAGTGGAGAGTAGGGGAGTGACTTCTGGTTCTCTGTGAGAAAGTGTCCTTGCACAGGGAACAGCATGTGAAAATGCCCTGATGTGGAATTGTGCATAACAGGTTTTGAAAATGCAAGAAGGCAGTAGATGGGAGAGTGGGGAAAATGGCAGAAGCATTTTCGGAAAAATGGTGAACAACCTGATGACATGGGCCTCGGTGATCACAAGGTAAAGATTTTAGACATGTTTTCCTGATTGATACAGTGTACACATCAAGTATTCAAGGAAAAATAATATAACCTAACTTATATTTACAAAGATCACCAGGAGTACTTTTTGGTGGATACACAGGGTCACAGAGAGAATCCAAGGGGCATGGTGAAGGCTAAGGGAAAGGGATGGGAGACTCACAATATGAGATGTGTGCAGAGTCTAGGGATAACTGCCTTAACCTTGGTTCTTTTTCTCTGTTTCAGGAAAGCACATCAGTCCAGCGCCTCTTTATCCACTACAGGAACACCTCAACTCGTACATTACCCATAGTTTCCTTTTTAATTGTCAAATACAAATGAAATGGAACAAATGTGTCCTCTAATAGAGAAGAGAGTTTCAATGAAAATGGTGGGAATGGAAATAAAGTGGAGGAAGCTAAGTGTCTTTTCTAGCTGTGTGGCTCACATAGCACCTTGACTTCACTGAGTGAAGAGACCTGCCCTCAAAATGGTGAAAGAAGGGTTTCCCCTGGAGGCGCAGCAGTTGACTGCTGGGCTGCGAAGCTGCCCATAGCCTCTGCAGCGCCAGTTCGGTTCGATCCCTGGCCGCGGGCGAGGGTCCCACATGGTGCAACAGACCTCTCCTGCTGAGCTCGCTGCTCCCCTCAGCAGTGTATTTTGTCGGTCTGCCTGTTCTGTTCCCCGCTCTGGCTCTGGTGGATTCTCTCACCCTCCCATGCTTCTGACTGTACCCAGTGCTTGTATGAATAAATAAGTAAATCTTAAAAAAAAAAAAAGTAGAAAGAAGATGGTGCCCATCTGGATCTCAGAACTATAAAGTATTCATCTTTTCATCTGTGCACACAAGAATCAAGAATCCCTGGATCTAGAATAGCACAGGAGAAGTTTTCTAATTGAATACAAGCACACCTTGGAGGTGAGGTCGCTGAAGACTGTATGGCTGTGGGAATTGCTTAAAGTCACACAGCACTGAAGACTGCTAAATCAACTGACTCCTCTATACTAAAAGATTTCTCTATGAGGTTTTGAAAACATTCTCAAGCCCTGGGCCTCTCTGGTGGTGCAGGCGGTTGAATGCCACACCACAAAGCTGTCCACAGCCTCTGCAGTGCCAGTTCCATGCCAGCCTACTGGTGAGGGTCCCACATGGTGCAGCAGACCTCTCCTGTCTCACCCACTGCTCCCCTCAGCAGTGTATTTCATCAGTCTGCCTGTTCTGCTCCCCACTCTGTCTCTGGTGAACCCTCTCACCCTCCTGCACATCTGGCCTATACCCCAGCTCTTGTATAAATGAATAAAAAATCTGAAAAAAAATTCTCAAGCCCTGTGGCTACTATATCAACTAAGTTATGGGAATGGTTTAAATTCTTCGTTGTCTTTTCAACATTGTTCATTCACAGAACCTTCATCAGCAAAATATTTCTATGTCAAGAACCCACTTTTCTGCTCATCCGTAAGAAGTAACTCCTTATCCATTTATGTTTTATCATGAGAATTGAGCAATCCAGTCACATTTTCAGGCAACACTTCTAATTCTAGTTCTTTTGCTGTTTCCATCGCACCTGTAGATTCTTCGTCCACTGAAGCCTTGAACCCCTCAAATTTATCTATAATGGCAGGAGGACTTTTCACTTATGACTGATATCCTGATACCCAGAACAGTGTTTGTCATGGAGAAGGAGGAGATTATTTCTCTAGCTACCTGCCAAATAAATGAAGACGCACGAGAATTCTCACAAATGTATGCTTATTGATAAGCTGCACATGATTAGCCATCGCTACTTTTTGTAGTTTGAAATAATTATATTAAAAATAATAGCTCACTGTGCCTTCCTGGTGGCACAAGTGGTTAGGTCTCAGCACTATGAGTTGTCGACAGCCACTGCAGCATGAGTTGGACCCCAGGCCAGGGAGCTAGCTATGGTGCAGCAGACCATTCCTGCCTTGCCTGATGCTCCCCTCTACAGTGGATTTCAGTCAGTCTGCCTGTTCTGCTCCCCGCTCTGTCTCTGGTGAATCCTCTCTAACCCTGCCTCCACCTCTGGCCTATATCTCAGCTCTTGTATAAATAAAATAATTGTTTAAAAAAATTGAAAATAACAGCTCGCTTATTGTGTGTTTTCCATGTGCCAGGCCAGGATCTATGTGTTTTCCACGTATTCAATGCTTAGTGTTCAAAACTGTAGGTCGGAGCTATTAATGAAATTATTTCTTTCATAGGGGAACCAGAGCATGAAAAGTTCAATACCTTGCCCAGGAACGAATGGTTAAAATTCTAAGTCCAACATTGTGAGCCCAGAGCCTCACTTCAGTTTCTAAAAATGTTCCCTTCAAAAGAGCCATCTGAAAAGGAAGAGTTTCAGATGAGAAAAGACTTCAAGTTTCTTAAAAGCAAAACACTTTGGAGGGACTCCGAGCTCCTAGAACACAGTCCAGAGCTAGGGGATGGGACACAGGACTCAGCAGTTCTGTTCTACCAGTGCTTTTAGAATCAAATGTCTGTGTCTTGCTTTCTAAACTATTCTGCTGAAAACCTAATGCCCGAGGCACTATTAGGGCCCAGCACATTTGGGATGTGAGTAGATGAGCGCAAAATCCACATGACGATTATTTGTGCCAAAAGAGTCTCTAGAGAGATCTCCAGTCCTGTCAACCATGTAAAGACACAGTGAGAAATCAGCAGTCTGTAACCCTAAAAGGGCTGTCCCTCACTTCAGCAACTGGAAACCAGGTCAGCAAAACTGTGAGAAATGAATTTATCTTGGTCATCAGCTGTCCTGTCTGGCTGTGGTGGTTTCTTGTAGGAAGATGGCTGCACTAAAAAAACAAAGGATGGGGCATCCCCGGTGGTGCAGTGGTTGAGCGCTGGGTTGCGAAGCTGCCCGCAAGTCTCTGCAGCGCTGGTTCGATCCCCGGCTGCTCCCGGCCACTGGAGGAGAGTCCCACATGGTGTGCAGACCTCTCCTGCTGCCCGCTGCTCCCCTCAGCAGTGTGCCTTGGTCCTTCTGCCTGCTATGCTCCCCGCTCTGGCTCTGGTGAATTCTCTCACCCTCCCGCACTTCTGACTGTACCCAGTGCTTGTATAAATAAATAAATAAATAAATCTTAAAAAAAAAGAAAAAGGATAAGTTGTTGTCCAGTGACACTTCCTAATGAAAGGGAGACTCATTATTCTTTAATTGTACACATATTTTCAACATCTTTCTTCTTCTGGAGCTCCATTCCCTTTCTAACCTTGCTTGATTCAAATACTGGTGAGGAAATTTCCCAAGGATACACTAACTGATACACTCTAACTTTAAGAGACCTAATTAAGCCTTTGAGGGAAAAAAAAAAAAAAAAAAAGGACATGCAAAGAACAGTAGCGGTTTCTCAACACTCACACCCTGCGAAAAGGAAAGTGGAACCTGCTTTCAGTTTCATACTGCACACCAAGCTTAACAACGAAAAGCCATGGCAGGTGAGTTTTACCCTCAAAGGACATGCGTTGGGAAAAGAAATAGCTGGGGAAGGGGCAGGATTTTTTGAAAGTCTTTAAGTTGATTCTGTGAATGTCTCCTTGAGCAGAACAGAGGGAGTGGGACCAGATGGCAGAGGGCCGGCAAAGAGACAGGCCAGGCCCGGAAGACTATCAGACTTTAGAAAGGAAACACGGGGGGGGAGGGGCAGAGAGGTGTTTCTGGGGTAATCTTCTGTCATCGTGCTGTCTCCCCTGAATTCTACAGTAGCATATACTTCAGTGCATGGAGGGGGCACAGTCAGAGAGGACAGGGGTGTGCAACTGTTGTTCCCATAGGCAATGGTCTCTCCGGGTTCATTATTTTAGTATACAGAGATCAATAAGCATGGACACGTTAGTATGGTGCCTGCTGTCAGGTAGTCTATGGAGATGCACATCTCAGACGGCAGGCTCTTGGTGAGCACACATGGGTAATAAGAATTACTCCCCACCCAGCCAGAATCAGGATTACTGAGCTGTGTCTAAAGGGGCATTCTCTTGAGTAAGTCTGGAGGAGGCTATTCCCCATTGCTGAGAGGGAAGGGGCTGATTTCCTGACTTGAGGAATTCTCGTGCTTCAAACAGACCAGGTCCTCCGGGAGAAGAGGAAACAGTTTGTCCATTCAGTGTCCCCAGGCACCATCAACGGCTTGCTGGATGAACTTTTAGAGAAAAAAGTGCTGAACCAGGAAGAAATGGAGAAAATAAGAGTTGAAAATGCAACTGTCATGGATAAGGCTCGAGCTTTGATGGACTCTGTCCTTCGGAAAGGGCCCCGGGCATGCCAGATTTGTATTGATTTTATTTGTGAAGATGACCCCCACCTAGCAGGGACGCTGGGGCTCTCCTCAAGTGCATGTCAGGGGAATTGATGGTCACCTAGGCCTGTGTATTTGTGTCCATCATTTGATTTCTTCATCCATCAAGATAGTTTACAGGCGCATCTGAAGCTCTGGCTCAGGTCTGCATCTCTCCATCACAGACCTATTATATGACCCCTTCTGTTTCCTGTGTCCTGTGCCTTTTGCCTACGTGCCTTTGGCCTTTCTTTTGATTAAAGTTCAATTCTTGTCCTTACTATGTGTTCATTCATTTGCTGAAGTGGGTGGTGTTTTTAACAGGGAATATCCAACAGATTGGCCAAGTTTCTTCAGATGCTATAGGGTAAGGTAAAAGGTATCAGGCTTTTCTGCCCTCCCACCATCAGGATAGATGAGGGAACCCTGTGATCCTGAATGCATGCCTCATGGTGGCCACCTGAAGTGGGTACACCTGCGCAAAGACTGTGCTTTTAAGGGCGGCATCACAGGGATGCCAGAAGCTGAGAAAGCAGCAGCGGAAGCTGAAGAGAAGCCGGGATCACCAGAGAGCCTGGGTAGAGTGAGGATTTGCTGGGGGCTCGGGAGGCCTGCCAGCCTCCCGGCCCCCCAGCACCCCTGCCTGCCATATGCCTGGTGAACCCCAATAAAAGACATGCAAAAACCCACTAAGGACTCTGACTCCTCCTTTACCCCGTCTGCATGGGATTAGAAAATCTGCACCGTGTCCAGTCCTGCCCTGACAATTGGCGTAGTCGGCAGGATGATCCATGCAGACGGGTATTGGAGCCGTCTGAAGACCTGGAGGGACTAAGGAGTAACAGACTTTGCCTGTGACGACGCTGGAGGTGCCATGACGGCGCAGAAGGTGACACCGTCCAGGAGCTGCGGGACGAGACCTCAGCTGGAGGAGGAGACACCCGAGAGGACCAGCCAACGACCCCTGAGGCAGCAAGAATCATCGGCGAAGAAGGACAACAATTCCAATCCCGCCAGTGCTGATGCAGGGAGAGGCCAACGGACTTGGACTGATGGACTCAGACTGATGAACTTGGACTGACAATCCCGCCAGAAGGCGAGGGACCTTGCAGGTTGATATGTTTTGGGAACCTGGGGGTGAAACAGTTTCATTTGTAAACCCCAGGAGATGGGAATCTGGGGGTGGCCAGTAGGCCTTGATGGCCAAAAGCAGCCTATGTATGCCCAGCAGCCAGACAGAGGAGAAAAGCCAACTGAGAAGGCAAAAGCTGGTGTTGATGCTAGGTTGAGAAGCCCTGAGTGGCTGTTAAGCAAGCCTGAGTATGCTGAAGACCTGTGAGTCTCGTAAAATCACCTGAGGGTGATGCCCTGCTCATTCTTGAGTGAGGGTGAGGAACTGAGGAACCTGTCCTTGTGGGATGGGTGGGGAACGTGGCTTGGGGTGGAGGCCAAGCCAAATGTAGAGTTTGTATCCCTTACCCATGTGTTTGTGCAGTGGGTTGGCCTGAATGCAGGGGTCTGCAAGTCGCATTGGTGGCTATGAAGGCCGAGTGTCGGAGCGACTGCAGACAGAAACCCTGAGGGTTGGCGATTACCCCCAACAGAATAGAATCACCAATCCCAGAGCTAGTGCATCCTGGGGGTGGATGCTGTGTGTGGCTTGTAGCCGAGACTACAGCCAGAGAAGGCCAGAAAGCCTGATGGCTCCTGGTGTGTTATAGTAGATGCCGTGAGTGGTTCCCCTCCCTCATATGAGCAGTGCCTTTGGCAGCAGATTTGGTGGCTCATCTGCTGGTACCAATAATTGTCTTTTGCACTAGGTTGGGGCCCTGCCTGGACTTATTTGTGTTCTGTTGTACTTTGTTATATTGTGATGTATTTGCTTTTGTGGGCCATGGCTACATTGTTTGTTTGCTTAGAAAATTGTATATATATGTAGACTATATGGCAGAAAACCCTGAGGGGGTGGACTGTAGGATAAGGTAAAGGTATCAGGCTTTTCTGCCCTCCCACCATGCCTAGTGAACCCCAATAAAAGACCTGCAAAAACCCACTAAGGACTTTGACTCCTCCTTTACCCAGTCTGCATGGGAACAGAAAACCTGCACCGTGTCCAGTCCTGCCCTTACAGATGCCTAGTGCCCCCCCCCCCTTTTTTAAGATTTATTTATTGACCCTTTGTAAAGGGCAGGAATGGCCACTGAGCAGGTTTTCTGATCCAGTAGACCAGGTAAAGGAGGAGTCAGAGTCCTCAGTGGCTTTTTGCAGCTCTTTTATTGGGATTTAGAGGGTACGTGGCAGGCAGGGGTGCAGGGGGGCCGGAAGGCTGGCAGTCCCCCCAGCCCCCAGTAAGTTTTCACTCTTTCTGGGCTCTCGGCGTTCTCTCTGCTTCTCTGCTCTCGACTTCTGTTCTGCTTCTTTCTTGGCTTCTTCTGGCATCCCTGTGATGCTGCCCTTAAAAGGCCAGTCTCTCCGCCCAAGTGTACCCACTTCAGGTGCCCGCCATCAGGCATGCATTCAGGACCACAGGGTTCCCTCATCTATCCTAATGGCAGGAGGGCAGAAAAGCCTGATATCTTTTACCTACCCTACACCCTCCTTGGTGGCGCAACAGGTTAAGCATTAGCACTATGAGGCAATCCGTAATTACTATAGCTCGAATTCGATCCCCAGGCATGGTGGTGAACCACATGGTACAGCAGACCTCTCCTGTCTCACCACTGCCCCCTCAGCAGTGTACTTCAGTGGATCTGCCTGTTCTGCTCCCCAATCTGTCTCTGGCCTATACCCCCACTCTTGTATGTATAAATAAGTAAATCTTAAAAAATATTTATTTATGCATATGAGAACTGGGGTACAGACCAGAGGTGCAGGGATGGTGAGAGGATTCACCAGAGACAGAGGAGGGAACAGAAAAGGTAGGTCTACTGAAATATGCTACCTAGGAGAGCAGCGGGTGAGATAGGAGCGGTCTGATGAGCCATGTGGGTTAGCTTCCTGGCTGGGGCTCGAACTCATGCTGAGGTGGCTGCCAATAGCTTCATAGTGCTGAGACTTAACCCCTTGTGCCACCAGAGAGGCCCCAAAGTGCCTATTTCAATGCCCATCTTTCCTCAGGTTCACAACTTGGAAATTCTCTTAATACAAGAGAACCCCATCTGCCTTCTCAGGTGATGGCAATTTCAAAGCATGGATATTTTTTGTTCTCCATCTTGCTTGATATTTAATTACAAATTCATGGGATGAACCTGGGGAGGGACTGTGGCTCATACTTAATGACTGATCCCACACCTTCTCTCAATCTATTACTGATTTGGCGAAAGCCATTCCTACAGCTTCACTCTCTCAGGTTTACTCTAACACAGTCTGATTCTTTCCTGAACCCTCACCACACACTCATAAGCTGGTGCCTGCTACACAGGTTCACTCTCGTCTCCCGCTGATTCCTTCTTACATTGCCCAGAGCTGCACTAGCCATTCTTTTGCCCACTTGCTTCTCCTCCCCTCCCCCTGTCTTGGTTAGTGGCACACCATCAAGCAGGTGTCAAACCAGAGCTGAACTTCAACACTTCTCTCCAATACCCGACATTTAAGCAGTGGTCACGTTTTTGCTTTCTCTCTCTCGAACACCCAGAGGGTCACTCCACACTCGCTTCTACTGTATTTCACAACCCCTATCTACACAGGGCCCTGTGATTCTCAATCATAATTGTAGGAAGGTAAAAAGTATCAGGCTTTTCTTCCCTCCCTCCATTAGGATAGATGATGGATCCTTGTAGTCCTGAATGCATGCCTGATGGCGGGCACCTGGAGTAGGGTGTAGGCATATGTAGATGGGATTCACCTGGGCTAAGACTGGGCTTATAAGGGCAGCATCACGGGGGCGCCAGCAGAAAAGAGCAGAACAGCAGAGCAAAAGAGAATGAAAGAATAGAACAGCAGAGAAGCAAGGCCACGAGAGAACTCCAAAGAGCCCAGAAAGAATGAGTACTCTCTGGGGCCTGCAAGACTGGCTGGCTGGCTGGCCTCCCAAACCCCTGATCACCCTTGCCTGCGATGTACCCAGTAAAATCTCAATAAAGCCTGCAAAAGCCATCAAGGGCTCGAGGACTCCTCCTTCATCCCGTCTGCTCGGGTCGTAGAGATCCTGCTTCATGTCCTCCTGCCATTATATTTGGCAAAAGTTGGCAAGATAATCCGAAGCAGACAGGTATGGAGTTCTCTGAATACCTCGGAGGGACTGAGGATTAGCAGACCATGAGAGCCAGTGACAATGCTGGAGGCGTCATGGCGGCACAGGAGGTAGATAAATTCCAGAGCTACAGAATGAGACCTCGCCTGGAGGAAGAAATGGCCTGCAAGGACCAGCCAACGATCCCTGAGGCAGCAGAATTGTTGGGGAAGAAAGGACCTGGATTAGGAGTTTGCCCAGTTCAGACAAAGGGAAAAGTCAATGGACTGGGATGAATGGATTTGGACAGTCCTGCCAGAAGGCGGAGGACCTTGGCAGGCTAACATATTTTTGGGACCCTGGGGGTAGATGGTATTGTTTGTAAACCCAGGGAGATAAAAATCAAGGCATGGCCTGTGGGCTTGGTAGAAAAGCCCACAGTTGGCTGAGGGAGGAAGCCCTTGCCAAGTTCTCTGCAGCCAGGCAGAGGAAAAGCCAAATTAAAAAGGCAAAAGCTGTTGCTGAGATTGGGAAGCCCTGAGCAGCTGTTAAGCAGCCTAAGTTTGTTGAAGAAGGCCAGCGAGTCTCTTAAAATCACCTGTGGGTGATGCTCTGCTCATCATTGTGTGAGGGTGAGGAGCTGAGGAACCCATCCGTGGGGGACGGGTGGGGAACATAGCTGGTGGTGGAGCCCACAGCCAAAGAGGGGACCCAAGAGAGGCCACGTGTGGAACTTGTATCCATGCGATGCCGGAATTGTCAGGCCTAGTCTCCCAGCCAGGATCAGATTTCAGGCTGCAGGGCAGCAGGGCAGCTCTGAGCCC